CTCTAGTAAGACGCGTTTTGGGTGGATACGAGCTTCGGTTCATGCCCATGCCAGGAGAAAACCGTGCGGCTACTGCTTTGTGGTATAGCGGGCAGGTTAGCCAAAGCGGACAATATCTTGCTACGGGGTTCTGGGGGCGTTACAGTGGGTGTCGGAGAAGGCCACTGGATTTGGTCCCTGTGTGCCCGTGTGTGTTTGTGTATATATACATATGTTAAAATAATTAAAGCAAATTGAATAATCAACACAATTTACTAATTTACCATTTGTTTTATTTTAGTAAATAACATTAATTATAAATGATTGACTTATATTGGACTTCACAATTACTGCAAATAATATAGTTCTCATATATATATATATATATATATATAGAGAGAGAGAGAGAGAGAGAGTTTGTTTCAAATACAATCCATCGCATTTTACAACCAATGCAACCTAATATATTGAGATATTTATGGAAATGATTAGAGTTCATTTATTATGATCTGAATATTTATATAAAATGAATATGGTTTGTTAATTATGATCGATACTTTATATTAGGAAACAATAAAAACTTCTATGAAATCACATATTAATCAAATGAAATGGACGGTTGAGATTGGGTTGTATTGGTTGCACAAATGTCAAAGGTTGTATAATAACCAACATCTCTCTCTCTCTCTCTCTCTATATATATATATATATATATATATATGAGCGATCAAATGCAAACCACCCAATTTGTACAAACCGTGCAAACCACCCTTATCCGTCGATTTTATTGTTTAATCTTATGAAATTTTTTCATGAAATTGTTTAATCTTGTGAAATTGTTTCATATAATACTTTTTTGATGAAGTTGTTTCATATATGGTTATGAAATTTTAATAAAACTGTTTCATGTATTTTCTCTAAAATTAAAATTATGAAGATGATAATATCTATGATTAATACTTTGCACAATAAAAATGATTAATGAACCTCCCATAATAATAAAAAAATTTAACAAAATGAAAAATTATGGTTGGTTGAATGAGGTTTGTACGGTTTTACAAATTGAGTGAGGGGAGCGTTCAAATAAAAATCACTCAATTTGTAAAAACCGTGAAAACCTCATTCAACCAATCATAATTTTTTATTTTGTTTATTTTTTTTTTGTAATTATAAGAGGTTGATTAACCATTTTTATTATGTAGGGTGTTAATCATGGATATTATCATGCTCATTATTTTAATTTTAGAGAAATACATGAAACAGTTTCATTAAAATTTCATTAAATATTATATGAAACAATTTCATAATCATATATGAAACAAATTCATCAAAAAAAGTATTATATGAAACAATTTCATAATCATATATGAAACAAATTCATCAAAAAAAGTATTATATGAAACAAATTCATCAAAAAAGTATTATATGAAACAATTTCACAAGATTAAACAATTTCATTAAAAAATTTCATAAGATTAAACAATGAAATCGACGTATATGAGGGTAGTTTGTACGGTTTTTACAAATGAGAGTGGTTTTCATTTTAACGCTCCTCTCTCTCTCTATATATATATATATATATATAGAGAGAGAGAGAGAGTATATATATATATATATGAGCGATTAAATGAAAATCGCCCTCATTTGTGTAAACCAATCTCATCCATCCATTTTCTTGATCAATGATCAAGATTAGTTTAGTTATTTTAGGAAATTAAAAAAAAATATTAAAATTTTTATTTTATAATAGCGCGAAGGGCAAAATGGTAAACCCAACCACATCTTCATCATGCACCCTATTCATCACTCTATTCATCATGCACCCTATTATGGTAAATTTCTCACCCTATTCATCATGCACCCTGTTTCACTTGTCCAATGAGATTGTTTACACACCCATATCATCATGCATCCTATTCATCATGCACCCTATTCATCATGCATCTATTTCATGTTGTACCCATTTCATCATGCACCCATTTCATAATCATTTTCACTCACTCCATGCACCAATTTCACCATATGAAACCGGTTTCATCATACACCTATTTCATAATTATTTTTCACTTACTCCATGCACCAATTTCACCATGTATGAAACCGGTTTCATCATGCACCCATTCAATAATCATTTTCACTTACTCCATGCACCAATTTCACCATGTATGAAACCAGTTTCATGAATATATTTTTTTCCTATTACTGATTTCATGGATTTATTAATCTAATAACTTACGATTTTCATGAATCTTGGCAACAATAAACCGAGACACAATATAACAAAATCCAATTTTCAATATTATAATTTAATTAAATATTTAAATGTTACCATTTATAAAATTCCCTTTATTATGTTACTTTAATTAAGATTTATTAATAACTTTCATATTTAATAGAAAACAATACAAATGACCAATATACCCTTAATGATTAAATTTAATTAGAAAAAAATGGAATTTTCATATTGATCGAAATTAGTTTACACAGTTTCTAACAATTGCATGGTTTTCATTTGAACGTGTCTCTCTCTCTCTCTCTATATATATATATATATATGTATATATATATATATATAGGGAAGGGTTCAAACGAGAACACTTTTATTTTACAAGAACACGAAAACACCATTTATTATAGACAATCACATGTGATACTATTATTTCATCACATATGATAAACATGTGATACTAAATCAAAGACGCGGGCGATTTTCGACGCAATCTTGGTTGCGGGCCAAGTCGCCCTTACACTACTAAGCCTCCTCACATGTATTATCACATGTGATAAGAGTGTTGTTGATTTGATACTATAATCCATCAAGACCATCACATGCGATGCTAAATCATAGGTGCAGATAACCTTTGACACGAGCTAAGTCGTAGAACACGTCGTCCGCACATCACATGGTCCTCTCACACGTATTATCACATATGATAAGAGTGTTCTCATGTTCTCGTAAAATTAAGATGTTCTCGTTTAAACCTCCTCGTATATATATATATATATATAATTGAGTTAAAAAGAAAAGTTAAGACATGAGTGGGGAGGAGGCACGTGCAAAAACAGCTTTAAGAAAGAGAATTCATTGGGTGCACATGAGGGGAGGTAGAAGATAGATTTGGACCACAAGAACTTGATTGTACAAAATCACTATACAAATTATTACTTTTTATAATTACTTCAAATATTTTATTTTATTTTATTTTTATTTTCTTTATTAAATAAAATTATATCATTTCATTTTTTATTCTTATGCTATATAAAAAAAACATTAAAGAAATAAAAATATCAAATAATGAAAACCTCAAATACCTAATTTTCAAAAAGAAATCCCTACACATAATTCGGGTATTCTCAATGAACGACCATAAACGTTCGACAATGTACGCTGTTAGCATCAATAATAATCCCACATGTTTATCGTGACTTAGATGCAGACACATAAATAAACAGTCGTTCTCAAAAAAGACAAACTTAACACAAAAGATGCCACTAGCAGAAGATAATAAACCTATCTAGAAGTGATTGGTGTTCAACTTGATGTATCGTCTACTTCACGAAACTGTAAAGGTTTTTGATATCTGATATATCTACGGTTTTCTGTATAGAACAAAATTTGTGTACATATTACCAAAGTGCTAAACATTTCATCTCTAAACTGTATAAAACATAATATATAGTATTACCTAATTGCAAACACCTGTAAGATTCAAAACCCTATAACGATTTTACAGTATACTACCCTAAAGAAACATAATGCTTAAAGGTCGATGTCCCTGTGTCTAGCCTAGCACATAAGGAGGAAATTCTAACAGAAGAAAAAAAGAAACTTGTTTATACAATATTTTTTTTATTAACCTGGATATCCAACCTGTTAAGCGAGCCGACTAATTCTAGTGCGACCACCTGCTTTAATTTGCAGATAGCCTGGAGTTACCGTATTTGAACTTTCGTGGTCACAAGGGGATTAAGATGACAGACAACCAAGAAATGACATACATGTTCAAATGACACAAAAACCATATGGTTTTGAAAAAGTGGAAACTTGGGGGTTGTCCAAGGTGTGCATGACTCAGAGTTAAAATGCGTTATACTTGTGCTCCACATGCCAAGAGACTGTTAAAAGAATCTAATAAAGCTCAACTCATGACATGTTCCCAGGTTTCAAGATTCCTGTTTAATTCATATAAACACATTAGATATGTCAACCATAATTACTTTTAGTTAAAATATGTTATCAGGGTTGTTTGACAATTGCTAAATGGTTTGGTGCAGAATGATTAAGTGATCAGAATGATTAAAAGGTTCTCATGATATAGTGCAAAATGAAATATAATTGTTTCGACCGAAGTATGTACAATGAAAACTCATAGTGGTTAAGGGAGATCCAGGATACAAAATCATTCAGAGGGATTTAGAACCAATAAGAGACAGACTTTTTTTTTTTGCCAAACAAGATCACCTCTTAACGATTCAAAGTTTGCCTCTTAATAGAACTACTAAGAGGTAAAGAAACAACCCCTAACTCTAAATCATCAATTTATCAACTCTTTTTTGACACAAAACATATATTCGACTGATTTGCGTTATACCGTTATCTATCTGTCTGTCTTGATGTAATTGATTCGAGATAAAGAGAACATTTATAACGTCGTTTTTTCCTTAAAAAAACCCATAAATATTACGTTTAAAACGGGAAAGATAACATCATAAACAAGATAGAATTCAAACACCTTACATTAAACATTAAAGATATCCCCCCTTCTTCTATACCAATATACCCCCATTCTTTCCCTCTTACTCCATAAAGAAAAAGCAAACATAAAACCCTAATTATGAGAAGCTAATACATGGAGATATAGAGCATAAATACTTATATATACAAGAAAAGATAGAAGAACACACCAGGAGTATTGGACCCAAATTCTTGATGGTAGATTCTTGCATTGTTGACGATGGAACGTGGGTCGATGAGATGAAGAGGATCCGAGGTTCCTCTCAGCGCAAAACCGATCTTTTATTTTCCAGCCTTGTTCACTGAAAAATTTAGAAGGCTGAAATCTATGTTTGCTAGCTGACATGATCGCTCCGATCCAATCCCCTCCCATCGATGCTTTGACATGAATGTTTCCTATACTAACTAAAACAGACCAAAGTTAATTGAAAAAAAACAAGGTGATCAAGTGAAAAGAGATTAGAAACTGGAAGAAAATTTTCATGGGGTTTTTCGGTTTTAGATCAAGGAAGGAACCGAGGAACCAATGTTGTTTGTCGGATCAAGCCAGCCTCCCCCATCGCCAGGCGTCGTGTCCCATAAAAGAGAATTGTTCGGATCAGAAGAAACAACAGCTTCGATTTGATCATCTTTATTCTGGCCATGAAAATTGTTATTCCATTCCATTCTGTTTTGTGTTGCTTCCATTTTCAGATCTTTAACCATGGAACTTCCATCGTAGGCTCCAAACCCCATAAATCTTTGTTGTTGATTAAGGCTTGAAGCTAAGAGAGAAGCCATGGTAGGAGCACTGGTGGAGCTACAAGTTGAACCACCGCCGTACATGGAGGTGGGGTAGTTTGAAAAAGTTAAACTTGAATTCTGAGCATGACTAGCCACAAGTGAAGCTCCTGGTGCCGAAGACGAAAACCCTAATCCGGATGCATTCATATGAGGTTGAAGAAGATCATAGCCGGAAACAAGGGTATCGTTGACGCCGGAAACCCTAGCATCAAATCTTGGGTAATTATGGTTCTGGGGTAACAACCCATAAAACAAAGGGTTGAGATGATGATTGGTGTTACCATTTGAGGTGGTGGAAGATGGGAGCCGATCAAGATTAGGGTTAGGATTAGGGTTAGGGTTAGGGTTAGGGTTAGTATGATGATCAACTGATGATGGGGTGGCTGCAGCATGAGCAGTAGATGCAATTGGCCTCTTGACTCTCTTGTTCTTCCTGCAGCCACCTCCCACAGGAACATTTCGCAAGGTGCCACCCCTGGTCCAATACCTCTTACAGGCCTTGCAGAAATGCCTCGGCTGCGACAAACTGTAGTTGTTGTAGTAGCAAAACTTTGTGTTGGCCGAATCACATCGCGGGCACTTTAACGCTTCGTGTTGTTGTTGTTGATGTTGTTGATGTTGATGTTGAAGTTGAACCGGTTTCTCCATAACACGAACTCCAGAAGCCATCAACTCATCATTCTCCTGATGGATCTAACCACAAATGATGAGCAAATTCGAACCAAAAGAGGAAACAAGTATGGGGGTCTTTTTGTTTTTCCTTGTGAAGGGTGGAGAAGAAGATCAAAAACAAACAGAAAGATGTAGAGAGATACTCGTTCCAAATGCTAGAAAACAAAAGACATGGCTCATGTTTTGTTGTCTAGAGACTAAATTATTGAGACGGAGAGAGAAGCTGTGGCCACTCGTTACCAGTTGCAGACATGGCCATACAACTATTCTTTCATAATTCTTCCGCTAATTTTAAATACCCACACACACATCTCTTCTACTCCGTTCAAGAATACGTACATCCGTATCGCTAAATTTTCGCCCTTTTGTTTAGGTTTTTCGGGGCTTAGCGTAAAGATGTATTAGATTTGGGATCATGCGAGACATGACTCACTACAACAAAATTGAGTTATAGGACACCCTCAATTTTTAAGTGTCCTAATAGACCTCTTTATAAGACTTAGTTTATAAAACCAAAAAAATAAAGTGTCATATCTAAAGGTGTTGTAATAAGTTTATATGACGTTTTTTGATGTCGTAATAAGTTTTTTTAGGATACTTATAATATAAAGTGTCTCATTCTCAATTTTTATAGGACACTATTTGAAAATTTGTCCTATAAAAACGAGTGTTCGATTTTGTTGTAGTGACTGTTTTCGTGAAACATAATTTTTACAATTGAAACTTCACAGTAAAACACTGAGGTAGCCTTCACAGTGTTTTTGTTGTGACGATTCACTACAACAAAATTGGGTTTATAGGACACTCTCAAATTTTAAGTGTCATAATAGACCTCTTTATACGACTTCGTTTATAGGACCAAAATATAAAGTGTCATATCTAAAGGTGTTGTAATAAGTTTATACGACGTTTTTGTGCGTCTTAACAAGTTTTTTAGGATATTTTTAATACAAAGTGTCGCATTAGCAACTTTATAGGACACTCCTGAGAAAGTGTCCTATAAACTCATTTTTCTATAAGACACTTGTTTTTACAGGACAAATTTTCAAATAGTGTCCTATAAAGTTGAGAATGAGATACTTTATATTAAAAGTGTCCTAATTAAAAAACTTATTACGACGTCAAAAAACGTCATATAAACTTATTACAACACCTTTAGATATGACACTTTATTTTTTTTGGTCCTATAAACTAAGTCCTATAAAGAGGTCTGTTAGGATACTTAGAATTTGAGAGTGTCCTATAAACCCGATTTTGTTGTAGTGACTGTTTTCGTGAGACACGTGAGACATAATTTTTACACTTGAAACTTCACAGCAAAACACTGAAGTAACCTTCACAGTGTTTTTATTATGAATGTTCACTACAACAAAATTGGGTTTATAGGACACTCTCAAATTCTAAGTGTTCTAATAATATCTCTTTATAGGACTTAGTTTATAGAATCAAAAAAATAAAGTGTCATGTCTAAAGATGTTGTAATAAGTATGACGTTTTTTGACGTCGTAATAAGTTTTTTAGGACATTTTTAATATAAAGCGTCACATTATCAACTTGAAATGACACTATTTGAAAAATTGTCCTATAAAAACAATGTCCTATAAAAATTGAGTTTATAGGGCACTTTCTTAAAAGTGTCCTATAAAGTTGCTAATGCAACACTTTATATTAAAAATGTCCTAAAAAACTTGTTATGACACCCAAAAACGTCATATAAACTTATTACAACACCTTTAGATAGGACGCTTTAAAGCACTCGGTTAATATCAGTTGCTTTTCCTTTTAATTCATGCATGAAAACAAGAGTAAACAGACAAAATTAGTAGGATTAAATTGTTAAGCCTGTAAATTAAGACATAGCTCAATTGCCTGTAAATTAAGACATAGCTTAATTAATATCACGTTTATTAATGGTTTTAAATTAAAAATTACGTGTAATCATTAGTTTTCACTTTTTTCAAATTTAATTATATCTTTTTGACTCTGAAAATTCAAATTTTAAATAAATTTAGCTTTTGCCACTTTTGATGCATGAACTCAAAAACTTGAACATATATTTGCCATATTGTTTTAATTATTAATTACTTGAATTAATATTTAATTAAGCCAACTAATATGGTTACAGAAAGTCATAAGCCAAAACAAAAACTTTACGAACAAATTATCGATTATATCTTATTACACCACAACGCTGCCACTAATCCATCAATAAATAGGGACATGTTATCGACAGTTTTCCTTTCTTCGTTAATCCATCGATGATCGTCTATTTTTATTTACAAAAATATTGGTGTAATTATCAAAGCGTTTTTTTGTCCAATGATGCCCAATTTATTTACCATTTATATTCACCATTGTCTCTACATGCATATTCTAAACTTTGAGTTGTGTAATAAATCTTTAGAAAAGGCATGTATATATAACTACTAGAATGATACTCGTGCAATGCAGCAAGATATATCTCAATTTTAATATTTTATTTTATTTTTTATCTCTGTTGATGTTATAATATGATTTTATTTTTGAATAAAATATAAATTTGAAAATATCATAAAAATTTGAAATAAATATCAATGTTAACATCAAATCAACTATTTAAAAGTTCTCATTTTTTATATAATTTATTTATTTTTATTATAATTTAATTTAAGTTTAATAATGAATTAATTTATTTTTGGTTTAATAATATAACATTTTATAAAAATAATAATTAAATATTCTGTTAGAACTCAATGATTATTCTAATTATATTTTAGATTTTTTTTCTATTTAAAATCAGATGTTTATCATATATTTTTTATTATGTATATATGCAGTTAGTTATACGAATTCATATATATAGCTTTAATAAGTTGTACTTACGTACAATCTACTTGTAATTTTGAGTTTTAAGTAACATGTATTAATAAGCAGTACTTTATAAATAAAAAATGGTTTTAAGAGTTTTTGTCAAATATTGGGTCATGTTCAAGCTCAAGAAGTTGTGGCTCAAATGCAACCTTATTCGGGACATCAATATAAGATTCACAATATTGGGCTCCTTTCTCCGGTCCCCTTTTAGAAAACTTTTTGATTCCTGATACAAAAATCACCAAAGTTTCAGTTAGGTTTTGGAGAGAATAGGTTTTAGGCAGCTTAGAATGCCATCCTCTTGCTAAAAGACGAGGCCGGGCAGCTTCCCAGAATAATGTCACCCAATCTTTTCTTGCTTACTCTGATTCCATATTTGAAGATTGACGATTTCTTCTGTTTTGAGGGAGGAAGTTAATGATTGAATTGTCTTGAATCAAACCTCGAATCTTGATACTTGAATAAAGCCTTATGACGGAGATCGATGAACTTGATACTTAAATGGTCTTGTATTTGTGTTGTGTGTGTGTGTGTGTGTATATATATTGTATGTAAAGTATTTGTGTTTTGCATTTTAAAAGAAAAAAGACTCAAAAAAGTATAAAATACCTCTGAGTTAACGATTTGTGTTAGCAGTCGTTAGAGGCAAGGACCAAATCCGTTCATTTTTACATACAATAATGACAAAACTGTAATTTCAAATTGTAGGGACCAAAAATGTTACAAACAATGAACCATAGGGACCAAATTTGTAGTTTACTCTTTATTAAAACAGACACATATATAGGGAGAGGTTTATTTGAGCCGTGGTAAATGTTTGAGAAATAAATAAGTGATCATAGTCATTCATACGGTCAAGATTGATCAGGAATTACGGTTTTAACTAGTCAATATTAGCGACTTTTTGGACTGGTCAATGAAAATAGATGAGTGGTTTAGTAACTTTTTCAAATAGGCAGCAAACAAATATATATGTGAACCCATAGTTCATATGTGAATCACATGAGTTCATATGTGAATCACATGGGTTCATCTGTGAATAAGTTAAATAGTTCATATGAGAATTACATGGGTTCACATATTAACATATAGTTCATATATGAATCACACATGTTCATATATACACTTGTTTTGCCGCCTATTTGTAAAAGTCATGAAATTGTTCCTCTATCTTCCGCATATCATGTAAGTAATTATATGGTTCTTCATAATCAAAGCTACATATACTGACCACATGAAAGGCTATGATCACTTCTCTACTTCTCAAAATTTACCATTTTTTAAATTAGTGACTTATGATGGATCTCATATAGATCTGACATATAATGGAGTTCTCGAATAATTAAGCCCCTATATTACATAATATTTAGAGTAAACTACGTTTTTAGTTCATGTGGTTTGTTGATTTTTTTTTTTTTTTTATTAACCTGGATATCCAACCYGYTATCTGAGCCGACTAATCCCAGGACAACCATATGCTTTGCAGATAGCCCGGAGTCACCACATTTGAACATCCATGACCACAAAAGGATTTTTATTTATCCTTGGATTTGAACCTGAGACCTCCTGGTATTTTTAACCTTTTGAGCTAAGCTCAAACCAATCAGGCACCACCCTTGTGGTTGAAATTTTCTATTTTCGTCCTTATAGTTTTGAAATTATGATTTTCATCCTATAGTTTATAATTAATAATATTTTTCGTCCTTATGATTTAAAATTAATTTATTTTTTCATCCCGATGGTTTATGATCTATATCTACTTTAGTCATTCATGCTTAAAAGTAGTGTATTGACCTTAGTGACGAAAATAGAAATAAATTGCAAATTATATGGATGAAAATCGGAAATTTCAAAACCACAGGAAAAAAATCCTCAATTTTTAACAAACTACAAAAGACGAAAAATAATTTACTCTAATATTTACCATATAATTAAATAATTAAGATTATAATCAATATAATAAATTCCAGGTCCAAATTAGTAATTAACCAATTTTCAGGGTCCACTAACCTTTTCGATTTGTATCAGCAAATTTACTAAATGCAAAACATGTTTTTCTTTGTTGTATGCTTTTCACTCCAATAAACGATTTGCTTTTTTTTTTTCATTTGCAACAGATACATATATATATATATATATATATATGGTTGGGTTCACATGAGTCAAGGTTGTTTTCGTAAGACACGTGTTACACGATTTTTACACTTGAAACTTTACAACAATTTGTTGTGAATGTAACATTTACTGTGAAGGTTCGGCTTTTTTTTACCTTCACAACGTTTTGCTGTGAGGTTTCGATTGTAAAAAAAGTGGTCTCA